CTGTTAGTTGGTTATCTCTGACCGTTTGAAGATGTTCTTCCCTTGAAGATACTCTTTCCCTAGCTTAGCTAGTAATGGGGAATTATGATCTAAAATAATCTTTTGTCCCCAGCAGAACAGGGTGTGGGGAAGAGTCATTATCTCAAGCCATAAAATGAAAGTACTCAATAGGGTAAGCCTAAATCAGATTTCTCATTTAAGTAAGGACTCATGTAATGCAGAGGGAGTGGATCATCTTGTGGAAAAACAGATGTACCACATCACAACTTTTTCTTGACAAAGTAATCAAGGCTGTGCACTCTCAGGACAATGTAAGGGAAGAGGCAGGGCTTCTCCCAAAGAGGAATGATCAGCAATGTTGGTATGATGAAGTCTACACAATGTTTCATGACTATTTAGTGAAGAGGCTTCTGCAACTCTTTGTTTATAGAAGCAGCTTTCCAGTTGTGTTCAACCAACTTATTATATGCACCTCTTTAGGTGCTTATAATGGCCTCTAGGAGGCAGTAACACAGTCGCAACTTTGTGTTATCTACAGTCATTGTTTATAGTCCCTTTCCTCCATCTTGGAGCTTCCTCTATACAGTGCTCCTATACCTGTGTGGGGCCGCCAAGGGCAGGTCTCTACTGTCTTTCCCCTTCCAGCTGCCAAAGTTTTCATTCTGCTCCAGAGCCCAGGAGCTAAGTCTTGCTGTCATTCACCTACCTACTGCCAATCCATCTATAGCCACACCTTTTGTGCATCTTCAGAGCCCAGGAGCTTAGCACTGCCACTGCTGCTGTTTGGTCTCTTTTCTCCACTCTTGAATTAGGGGTGGAGGGAGCAGGAGAGGGAGGTGAATGGCAGCAATGCTCAACTTGTGGGATCTGGAGCTACAAAAATGCTGTAGCTCTAGGCACAGCCTGTGCTGATGTGCCAGTGAGCTCAGAGCTTTCATGCAGTTCTGGATCCCAGGAGCTGAGCTCTGCCATCACTGATACTCATCCTCTCTTTCTTTTTTTTTCTCCTGCTGATGAATTCAGCCTGGGAGAAGGAAGGGAAAGTGAATGGTGTGCTCAGGTCTTGGGATCTGGAGTTGCATGAAAGCTCTGAGCTCACCATCATGTCAATGCAGGTGAACACTGTTGCTGCTCATAATCTCAAATCACTGACAAAGGCAGGGGGAAAAAGAGGAGGAGCAGCAGGTGTGTTCACCTGTGTTGACATGCTGGTGAGGGGCTGTTCACACTGGCTTTGTGAACTGCATCTGGCCTGAGGGCCAGAGATTGGGTGCCACTTAACTAGAAATATCAACATAAAAACAAAAGTCCTCAAAACAGAAATCTGGATAAGGGTGATCCTTTGTGAGCTGGACCCATGTCTGTCCTGCCTTGTATGGGAGAGACTGCTGGCGGTGGTGGTCAATGCCTCCCTCTGGGAGGGCAGGATGCTTGAAATTCTTATGTCTGCAATTGTCTAGCCCTGACTCAAGCAATTATTGCTTGACCCCAGCTCCCCAGCTAGTTATTACCCCGTCTTCAATCTTGCATTTTTGCGGGAAGGTCACTGAATGAGTAGTTATCTGGCAGCTTCAGGTGTATCTAGATGCCATCTGTTTCCAGGACCCATGCCAGTCAGACTTTTGAACTTAATATAGGACAGGGACTGTGCTTACGGCCTTGGCTGATGATTGTTGCTGGAGATCAACAGGGGAAGTTGTGCCTGCTGACATCATTACATTTTTTCAGCAGCTCTTGATGCACAGAAGCCACTTGACCATCTAGTTGACCATGAGGTACTGATAAAGCATGTACATGATGCGGTGGGTATTCATGGCACCACTCGAAATTGGTTATATTCTTTTCTAGTGGGGAAGTGTCAAATGGTAGTGCCAAGTGAATGCTTAACATCCCCTTGTGACCTTTTCTGTGGGGTTCTCCAAGGCTCCATCTTCTTGTCCATCCCCCCGCTCAATGTGTGGATGAGACCTGTGTGCAAGACTGTACAGAGATTTAAAGTGGGGTGCATCAATATGCTGATGACACCCAGCTGTACATCTTTTCCTCCAACCAAGGCCCCACAGTACTTTCACTTTCCCAGTGCCCAGCTGCAGGGGATGGGATGCAGGTGAACCAACTGAAACTAAATCTAGGCAAGATGGAGACACTGGTGGGCAGACTGCATGACATTGGGAGGCGGGGGGGAAGGGAGGGAATTGGATTTAGCCTCCCTTGTCACTCAAGTTTTCATTCTTGGGGTGCTCCTGGACCTTCTGCACCTGAATCGCCAACTCTATCTGATGAAAAGGTTGTGGCCCTTTCTTTCAGATTTGGATCTGGAAACTGATAAACACCATAGATTCTAAGTGGATGTTATCTCCAAAGCAACCTTCAAAGCATCTTCAAGGATGTTTAATTCTTGTGATGCGTCTGAGTGTGCAAGAAATTGCCATTCATGAAACGTTGGATTTGCTAAGTACCTGAGCATCACTGTTGCTTGCCTGTCCAAAATAAATGTAAATTCTAACAGCTGCATAATGAAGTCAGTCCTCATCAATGTTCTCCAACTTGCTTTCCTATAAACATGCTAAATTGTGTCATTTATAAAAGAAGAAAGAAAAAAGCCCCAAATCAAACCCTGACCTCCACCTCCCGCCCCTCACCCCCAAACTTTAACCAAGTAGATTTTCAGCCTTTAGAAGGAAAAAACCCTATCTAACAAGCCCTAGGATTTAAAAATAGCTATTTCCCCTCAACGAGCCTATATTTCTTTCTGTTATAGTAATTAATATTTTCCCCTGCAAATTACTATGTAGGATGAGATCAATGTAGAGTGTAAATCAATGTAGCTCAAGAAACTTCAGCAGACTGTGCCTGTTATGTCAATTGATGTTTTGCCCTGTACTACTTGAAATGTGAATGCCATCTTAAAATGGTCATTGCCTAAATTCACCTGTACTTCTGCACTTTTAAAATGGTTTCATATTACAGCGCTCTTTGAAAGAGGAAAAAATAGATGCTTGTGATCCAGAATGTGTCTCTGGACAATATTTAGTGCTGTTTGTGTAGACTGTGCTAAGGCTTTACTCCCACCCCTTTCTCAAAGTAATCATGTTGCACTTCTAGTAAAGTATCATAATCTTGGGCCCATAAACAAGAAACTTGTGAACTCAACGCTAGGGCTTTGTTGCCATTATGCTGACCACCTTTGATTTGCAAAGGCTGCAAAGCACAAAAGAACTTCAGGGGGCAGAAAGGCAACAGGCTTAATAAGGAAAAAACACAGCAAAGTAATACTAACTTAGAGAGAGAGATAAAATGTAGACACCTGGGGAATATCAAATTACATGGCAATGAAGGCAAAAGAACTAGAGGAAAAATGGAAAACACTGGGCTTAGTAGTGACCTTTTGATTTAAATGATGATGATAATAATCAGTCACTTTAAGAGTGGGCAGTACTTGTAAGCCCCTTGGTGTGCCTGCTCCTGTACAGGCAGGCTTAGTCACCTTAGGAATCTGTCAGTCAGTCAAAACAATAGCCCATTGCACACATGATAGCTCTTGATCTAAACAAACAAAAGAACAAAGCAAAATGTTCAGCCTTTCTCCAAGCAGCAGCAGAGGGTCTTTTAAGCTCTGGCCCTTCCTAGAATCAAATTCCTCTGAGTTCCAGTCTGCCTCTCAACCATAATCTGCTCCTTCCTCAACTCCAGTTGCCCATGCTCTCCCCTTTTGGGCTTTTCACTTCCAGCTAATTACCCCCAGCTGGGCTCCTACCCCAGGGCTGTCTCTCCCACTTAGAGGGCCAGACTGCCCTGCTATAGTACTATATAGAAGGAGCAAATTGCATTTGCTGTGCACACAGAAATTGGAGGGAAGAGCCAAAACTATATAAAGATAATTGAGCCTCTTTCTCTAGAAAGTTTCTTGAAAACAGTTAGGATGAATTGGTCCTTTAAATTTATGGAAGCTTTTTAAGGTCAGAGAAGAAAAGCTTTGCAAGAACAGCTCACAATTTTTAACAGCACAGGGTCTTGACAACCCAATTTTGTGAGTAGGGCTGTGCATTCTGTTTGCAAATCTCATTACCTGGATGCTCTAATTTCCACCTGTCATGCTGGACATGAATGTACAAATATATATGATGCATCCCAAAGGGTTATAGCAGACCTAATGTATATTCCTGACTTAGTCCTCAGTGTACTTTTTTTCTTGCTAATTGTAGCATCATAGAAGTTAAAGTTGGAAAAAACCATTGCGGTCATTCAGTCCATCTCTGTGCCAATGCAATATTGTTTGCTACTTTGTACACTGTGATGGACAAGGTAGACTTTCTCAGGTGGGTGGAGCTTTGTGGCAAGGACAAGATCTTGGACCAGCTTCATAGCTTGTGTAAGTTCATATACCACTTTCATTTCTGATGCTTTGCTTTTAAAAGGGTTGCATCTTTTTACATTTAGGTTTAGCTAGAGCTTTGCCTATATCTGATGTCTAAACTTCTATGTCCACTCAAGAGCAAACATAATGCTATGATTTAGCATGATGTAAAACTTGCTTCTGGTTCAACCATCCAGAGAGAGGTTTCATATGAAACGCAGAACAAGAGAGAGGCATTGGCCCTCCTCTCCCTTGCCTGCTGTACAGCAACCAACAGCACCCATCAGATTCCCAAAAGCAGCAGACTTTTATTGCAGGAGTTTGACTTGCTACCAGTAATTCTTTGATGCTAAACTCCCAGTGGTTTGCTCTTGTCATCTTCCATGACAGCTATGGCTTATCAGCCTCAGGACAGATTTCAGAGTCTAACCAACCTGATCTTGCAACAAGAAGCCAATCCTGCCCCAATGGCAGGAAGATGTGTTTCCCAGATGGCCGCATGTACCCATGTGATGCCAGACAACACCTTTGGTGCATGCATGGTGGACTAATGGTCTCCTTACTAGTTCTGTCATTCCTAGAATGGAGATATACTGTGGATGTGGCAGGCTAGTAGGGGGTACTCCTGCGCTAAGTCACTTACCTCACTGAGCCCAACCACCTTCCAGGCTCCTAGTGCCTCCCTTGGGGCACCTCACATCTAGCAAACCTCCTTCCTGGAGCACACCCACTAGACTGGCAGTAGTGCCACCACCACCCAGGGTCTGGATTGATCCTGGCTCTGTGTTTCCTAGGAAACACCTGCCTGGTAGCCCTTGAGGGTATTCAACCACTTCAAGAACTTGGGGTGCTTCCCTCAGTCTGAAGTACAAATAATGGTCTCCCTTAGTCAGCTGAACCAAGGAGACCCCAAGACATAATCTAGACCCGCTCCCAATATGCACACTAGGTACAAAGGAGAAATTTATTGGTTACAAAGAGTAGGTTTGCAATAGAGTACAGAGTAGAACAATATCAGAGAAATCCCATTGAGCAAACAGGGTGGCTGGGTAGCGTTTGATCACATATCTGAGTTACTGCAAGCTATATATCTAGTTAGATCTCAGGTAGCTTACTCATGAGTATCATCCAGAGGCAGGTGAAGATTCCCTCTGGAGGCAAGCAGTTCATTGATCATGGGTTTCAAGAGTGAGCAAGTTTCAGACGGTCCAGTTCTCTCTCTGAGTTTTCCTCATAGCTACTGCCCCTCCTCCTGGGCAGTCCTTAACTTATATAGACCTTATGACCTCATTTACCTGGTCCAATGGAAACCAGCACCTGTTGGCTGCCAGCCAACCAATTTGAAATTACATCACTCATTGCTGGGTAGACTGGCAGGGTCTCTAGCTCCCTCCCAGTCAGGTTAGCATTACTTAGAACAATAGGGAATTTAAGCCCCTCACCCAGGTATGTGGTGTCAGTCACATAGGCAGAGGGAGCAGGTTTCCCCTCTCCCTCAGGAATGTATCCAACTCAGGTTACCTAAAGAGATGGGATGTCTGCCCTCTGCAAGGCCCATGTTAACCAAATTGTCACAGAGCAGAGTTTTTGGGGAGAGACAGGTGGCATTCTGCCATAGTGGATACTTGCAGAGTTGCTTGTACACAGTGCCAGGAATCTGGCACTAATGCATCAGGCCACGGAACTAGTTGTTATGGCACTTCAGAAAACCCCTCTTCTGTTTAGGCTTCAATTTCTTAATTTTCTGGCTTGACACCAATGATGGTTTAGGGGATAAATCTAATGTTGTGTTTGGTAAAGTGCTATTCCACTTGCTAGTCTCCTGAGACCCAAGGGTCTCACGTCTGAATGGACAGGTTACTGCTTTGGAGTCATCCACAGTGGAATGTGGATAATTATTTAAAGGAGAACAAAGTTAACACCCTGTAGTAATAGCAGTTATCCCAAATGAGCATATGCACTCTTTGCTCTGCTACCCTCCATCCCTCCTTCTCAGTCCTTCATGCCTGGAGTTCCATGATTGAGAAGAACTTAGGTTCCATAGATGCATTCTACAACTGTGCTGGAGAGAAGAATGAGGAGCAACAGGATACTGTGCTGATACTATTGGCCAAAACAAAGGCTGTGGGAAAAAATTGCATAAATGCCAATATAAGTGATGGGGAAACTGGTTCAAATCTGTAACACAACAGAAGTTCAGTGCACATAAACTGCTCTCAAAATGACAGAAACCAGTTTAAGATAAACTCATAGATGGATGTAGCATCATACTTAACTGATTTAGATTAAATGGGTTTACTGAACTTCTGTCCCAGATCCCCTCCAGATTCAAGTTAACTCTCAGTTCCCTACTATCCCAGGGTGCTTTGGAGGGTGGGTGGGCTAGCCTTGACCCAAGCTGCCTGCTCCAGCAGAGCAGAGAGGCATGTTATAGCAACCCCTGGCTTCTGGGCTACTGCAGGCATGTGGCTGCATTTCTGGAATCAAAAGTGAATGTCTGTTCACTTGCTTATCAGTTTAATCTATGCAGTTTAGACTAATCTGCAAATATTGAATTGATTTGGCCTTAGGCTTTTTGACTGACTATACTAAGCCAAAGTCTCTCAAAGAACTCTACTTTCTCGGAACTATCTTCTTTATGATTTTTTTTTCCCTCTCCTCTTCTCCCTGTCCACCCCACCCCACTTCCAGCCCCATTTTGGGATTTCACAAAACACTACTTTTCTTAGTTTAAAACATTGGTAATTTACATGATTGCTGCATCACTGTGATATGTTGAATTTCCTAAGACACTTGGAATAGCAGGAATGGCAGGACCTTGCTCCGTTCCTTCTGTCTCCTCCTCCATTCTTCAGACCTATAGCCTGCTACAGTGTTGACTAGTGGCAACCTGTTCTGCATAGATTTCTGCAGCTTCTTCTAGTACAGCTGCTTCCCTGCTTAGTTCCCACCTCTGTATTAGACTCTTTAGCTTCCAATGCTATGAGCTCCTCTTGTCCAGCTTTCTGCTTTGCTCTAATCTGCTCCATGTGCTGTTTTTTTCCAAATCAGAACTCCTCACCTGGCTCAGACCTTTCTGAAAATTTTCTGTTGTCAAGACAGAGAACTGGGTTTGCTTTGCTCTCCACATTGGCAATTAGGGTGGGAAGGAATATAGCAGTAAATTTGGTGCATCGCACATTGTTTCTGAAGGAAAATTTAAGATGAAAGCTATGGGCCATGTTTATTTGCACAGATACAAGAGGCCAAGTTTTGCTAACTTTGTGCCTACAAGCATAGCTGTGGTAAAGGTGTAAGAAGGATAGTTGCAGATAGACATCTCTTCAAGTATTCCAGGTTTCTACTGGAATCTGTTAATGGAAAAGTCATGGAACTTTTCTTGCCTATTTTAGTTCTGCTTCATTCTGGGCCATGCCCACTTCTGAGACAGAGCAGTGGCTGTAGGCAACTTATCCCACTGAACCTCTGCTACGGAGGGACTTAATTGCTTGTTGTCCATGGTCAGGGTTCTACTATGAGAACCCAGAAGATACAACTGGTCCTATATATTTGTAATTATGGCTTTTACTTTAAAAGTCCTACTTTTATGGCAATGAGGGGAAACAAACTAAAAAAAAAGTCTAGCCCCAAATTGTTGTTGTTGCCAAGGTAAATGTAACTTGACCATCAAACTCTTATTTTTCTAAGCCTGGATCCAGTCACTCAAGTGCAAAATGAGTTTTTTCATCCTAACTTCCTGCTATAGTTTTATGGACAGGGAAAGGGAGTGAGTAGAGGAAAACTGAAAATCACTGACCCTGTGAAGCTAGGCTTTTCTTGTAAAAGCTGGTTGTGTTCTAGGAGACGAGGAGCAGAGATAGGCTTATGGCTTGTTGGGGGTGGGTGTGGGGGGGGAGCAGGATTTTAGAGTTGTCTCTTCTGGGAAAGGTTTTGTAAAAATGTTCAGGAGCAACCATTTAATAGCAAGGCACAGGACAATCTATCAGGTCTCCTCAATGATCCCAAATTCACATGGAATGCTCCATTCTATACAGTCTGGCTTACAGGAGAGAGAATTTTTTGGAGCCAGAGCATGGATCTTTCCAAAGCTGAAACAACTGTTTCAGATCTCATAACTATTCCCCATTGATCCCACTGAAAATGCATATCGCTAGCTCGCCAAGCATATATCAGAAGGCAGCAGTTCATTGAGAGAAGAAGAGATTGCAAGTGAAATATAACATCAGCCAGTGATAAAAGCTACAAGCTTTGGCATGAATTGGATTTGCAAAGGCAGAAGCTGTTTACCAGCACTATGACCTATTAATATTGAGGAGAATCAGTTTAATTAAAATGAAATATTTTTTGCCGTTTGAGTTTAACCCAGGCACCAGTGAGTCTGCTGGAAAAATATGGAACTAGATCCTGATTCCACATACCCTGAAGATCTACAATATTGACTTTGTCCTCCAAAAAGAACAGGGGCATTTGCAAAATTCACACTTAAGTCAAAATGTGAAACTGCTTTAGTATTCTGAGGGGAAAAGGAGTTCAGCATTCACATCCCTCTGTTTTGAGACTCTACATTACTTGAATGATGACAATGTTTTCTTAAGCTGTAATAGAAACATCCCTTCACTCCAGGAAGGCATTTGTGTGACGAGCCCTAAATGATCTGACATCAATTCTTTATCTTTGGCTATTAAAATGTATAGCAGAGAAGCCAGCAAGAGGCACAAACATCAACCAATAATATCTATTTGAATTAGTAAGAGCAGTCTAAAATCTAAACTTACACCCAAAAGCAATTTTTTTTCAAGTTGCTCCTCTCTATACTGTATTTACTCAATTATAAGATGAGCCCCCTCCCCCATTTAACAAGGTGGGGAGAGGAAGCCCCTTCTCTTAGAATAAAGTACAAGGATAATGAATGGAGGAAGGGGGTGTGTGCAGGCAATAGCTCGGGCCACAACCTCAGTTGCTGCCTCTCTTCCACCCTTAAGTGTTTCAGCATCTGGCCCCCTGTACCCTCGTCCTCCTCCCCCCATCTTCCTTCCCCATGTAGCTTCTACTCCCCCACCTGGTCCCATCATACAATTCAGCTACTTCCTGACTGGGTTTCTGGGTTACAAACCATGTTACCCAGCAGGCCTATAAGGCTTGGAACAGAGGCAGCTTGTTTAAAACAGAAAAAGGGGAGGCCAGCTTTGGTTAATGAGCTCAATTGCACTGTTGTGTGGGTAAGAGAAGACACATGAGAAGTTAGCAATGAGTGGCTCACACAGATTGGCTTTCCTTGTTTGCCTCACTGCAACTTTTTTCATTTGTCCTCATCTTGGCACCAATTTTACTAGCAGTACCCAGTGTTTAGAGAAATGGATTTTAAATAACAGAGACCCACACTTGCTGTTTTACCTACACAAGGCATCCCCTGCAAAACTATGCATACATTTATCCTTGGTACCTTCTTTCTTCCCAAGGCACTAGGCTTGATTGCTTGCACATCTTAGCCTCTATGTCAGTCATGGCAGTGATTTGACAGGCTTCCCTCCCTGCCCCCTTCTCTTTATTCCACACCTTTTAGCAGATCAGAATCCTTTAATGTCTGGGTTCTCTGGTAAGTAGCCATGTAACCCTTGTCTGGAAGAGAAGTCTCTTTTGGGGGCTATACACCTGCTTTTTAAATTTTTTTTTTCTGGGTCACTATTTTACCTTTCCTTTTAAATCAAAAGGGGTGGTTATAAATCTAATCTGATAGCAGGTAATCCATCATAAACAATACACAGAGGAATAAACAGTTTTCATTTAAAATGATATAGATGTTTCCCAGTTCTCTATTAGTAGACTCAGAATTGGCATAGGGTACCATTTATTTCCCATCTGTGCTTGAGACAGGATTTTGGTCATTGTTACTTGTCACTGGGATTTAACCATCCTAAATTATGCAGGAGAAAAATTACAGCTATTCGGAACTATATCAAACACTGGAACCTCTACTGGTTTGAAGGAGAAAGGTTTGCTCAGCTGAGGATTCCTGTAATAGAGTAAGAAAAAACAATGATTATGCTGTAAATAATGACATAAAGGCAACTTGGAACGAGAGGGGAGTGATGCCATTAGCACAACATTTAGATATTCACCTGGTCCAGAGTCACAGGACCTTATCATTTGCAAGTGTCTTTGACCTATTTTGTTTGGTGAGAATCTCTACTTTCATTTAAAACAAAGTAAATGTTTATCTTTTATGGTTGGGAAGAAAAGCTTTCAAACGTGACTAGAGTGTATTTTCAGGGCCTAAAACTTGCAAGGCAAAAAAAAAAAGACCTCAACAAGTAGTGTTCTTGTAAAAATTCTAATTAAAATCAGTTTGGGGAGATCTGACTCATGATTTTTTTTTAAGTTTAGGGCTGGAAATAGTTTGAATAGTATGATAGTTTGAGGCCCACATAAAGATAGTTCAGCACCTTGTAATTTTTCCGCGGGCAGGGAAAAAGGTTGAAGGTCAGATGATGCAATGGTAATGGT